TAGGGGACTTTAGCTCTCTTATCATTCCCTGCCTGGATGTACATACTAGTGGGGCTCTATTCCTTTGAGGACGCCTGTCCCATCAGACTCCCCACTCTCCCTGGACTTCTGGCCCACTGGGGCTTCAGTCCTCTTGACTCCCTGTGCTTATCTTCTCCACCTATCTTGGCCTTGGTATGTTTGCTGTTTCTGAGGCCCCTTGTGCTGAAGTTGTACTTTGAAGTTGTCATGAAAGCTAGGGCCTATTATGCCCTTGTGCTTTCTTCCTGTGTTCTGTAGGCCAGTCTGTGGACTTTAAAAATTCTATGTATTTAAGTTTTCATCCTAGGAACATGCCCCCAGCTTATTGCTTTTCTCCCTTTTATAGTGTCATCTGCTCTGAGGTTATGCAGTGTCTTTGCACCCAGGACCACCAGCCAAGGGTGGCACCACCCACACTGAGCTGGGCTCTCCCACATAAGCCTATAAAGATATTTCTCAATTGAGAGTTCCTTTTCCTAAATGACTCTAGCTTGTGTCAAGATGCCATAAAACTAGCTAACACATGTAAGCAGGTGGAAAGCCTGATGTTTCTGAAAGCTCTGTGTACTGACTCTTCACATAAAAATTTAGTTCACTTGGGACTGACTAACTGTGGTGTAAAGGGAGGGTCATTTTATGCTGCCTGTATCAGCCAGCCTCCGACAGTGTCCTGTCACACCACTGCCTAAGTAACACACTTTGGAATCCCTTTCATACACATGGATGATGCTATCCATCTGTACAAACCGTATGATGGAAAGAAGCATGGACTTCATAATTCAGGGTGTCCACCATGTCTGTCTTCCAGTTTTATTCTGTCCAAGATTGTTTTCATTCTTGACCCCTGGGGTTTGGTTAAACTCTCAAAATTAGTTTACATACTAACCAGCCAGGTTGGCCTGGGGCTATGTTGGGGCTATAGGGAGCTGAGGTGCCTAATTGACACAAGGCCTCAGGCCCTCACTGGGCTTATGTGCCCTGGAAGGTCACCCAGTCCTATAGATGGAGATGCTGTCTGTGTGATTGGTCCCCAGTTTCTGGAACAGCTCATGTTTTTCCAATTGCATCTGACCTGTTCACATGCTAGCTTAATGACACTTTCCTTCTTATACCCCTTCTCTATACCTCTGCTGTGTTACTTTTTGATTGCTGTGGCAAAACACCATGGCAAAGGCAACTTACAAAAAAGAAAGCACTTCACTGGGTTTATGGTTTCAGGGGGTTAGAATCCATAATGGCAGAGCAGAGATATGGCAGTGGGAACAACTCACATCTACATCTATAAGCAGGAAGCAGAGAACACTGGAAATGGAGTCATTTGGAACCTCCGAAGCCTACACCACTTCCAAGCATCCTTCCCAAACAGTTCTACCTACTCGGTCAGGATTATTCAAACATGAGCCTATGGGGCTTTCTCATTCAAACCACTGCATCCACCTACTAGTTCCTATATGCTCTCCACAGCTCACCATCTTGGAATGACTTTCTTAGCCTGATAATCCCCATCTCTGTGTCACAAGCTGTTGGGACACCTAATATGTCTCTGAGTGATGCTTTTCTTAACATGTGTGTCCTTCCTAAGAACTAGACATGTTGATCAAATGGAGAACAGTAGGTGGACTTGCTTTTCTGGCTGGAAGCTGCTGTTGGATGTTGGCTGTGGTATAGGCCTCAGGGTTTCTCCATTTGTTTTCACCCTTGACCTTGGGCTCCCTGCCCTTACAGAACCTGAGTCCTTCAGAAACCCAGCCTCATGCTGGACTCCTAGGTGAGTTGGAGGCAAAGAAACATTCCAATCATCCAGCTAGTCTCCAACTTTGGGCTTGGACTGTGGGCTGTATCCCTCTCTAGAAAACATGGTTCTGGTATGTCCAACAGAGGTGAATTTCGCTACCTTGCTGGGTTTGAGCGAATGTCTCTTAGATCACATGAGATGAACCTTGCAGGCCCCCATGGCTGGTATTATCGAGGCCTTTGCAGGTACACATAGGCCTTTGGGTGGCTTTTGCTAGGCTCTGTGTCTCATACACATTGTATCTCCGGTTTCACAGTAGAGATCTCAGTTCTCTGACATTCTGAAAAGACTTTTTCCAGTTGTGCAACTTTTCTGTATTGAGTGGGGCCTCAGACTCTGCTGCCTGTGCATAAGCTGAGTCACAGTGCTAATGCCACCACACCAGCCCAAAGGCATCAGTACACATTTCTGTCATCTTACTCCATCAGTTACTGAGAAAGCAGTGTTGTGCATTTGCCTCAAATGTCCTTTAATTATGTTTGAACTTTGGGGGATGCATTTTGAGGCTGTGTTACTAAGTGTTCCTACTCTTGACATCTCCCTTACTGTTAGTATGGTGACATCTGGTTAGCATGTCTACTGTCATAATACTTTCAATGTCTATGAACGGTATAGTCAAGATTATGCCTTAGCATCATTTAAAAATATTAATTAGTGTTTCATGCATTTGTGTTTACTGTATAATTTCTGACAAGTTTACATTCATCATCTTTGTTTCCTGTTTGACCTTCCTGTTTAATGTTTCCTTTCCCCTTATCTGGATTTCATTTCCTATCCTGTTAACTTGTTTCACTGTTCTGTTCTTCTGTCCCTGATTACCCTGGGGCCAACACTCTTTCTTGACACATTGCATTATCCCTGACCTTGACCTCCAGCTACAGAGTCCTGTCTAAAACAGAGTTGCCCTAACCCTGAGGTCTTGGTATTTAGCTGATATGGTCTTGATGGTCAGCTACTGTTTTTCCTCACTGTTCTGTTTGCTTTGATGATCTAGCTTTATACTCTGAGCTCCTGTTACCTCCTTGTCATGTTGGGAAAAATTTTGTTCTTTCCATCCCTTGTGTGTGCTATACTGGGTCTGTGTGCCTATGTCCTCCCCCTTGCAGGAGCCATAAGACACACAAGCAGTGGTCTGGTTGCTTGAATGGCTCTAGGAGTGGTGACAACAAATGGAGCCATGATGTAATCTCAGTCTCCTATGTGCAGAGTGGACTTGAATTTTCAACTATGCTCTTCACGTTTGTTATGAAAATTTTGAACATGTGTAAATGTGAACAGTTTAGCAACCCACTCTGACAAGCCACCAGAATCCTGGTACATGGCAATCTTTAGCCATATGTTAGAGAGGGTGGGGTGGGGACCAGCCTGATGTTGCTATGTGTCTTTTACAGCCTGCTCCTGGAAGCTGAGTCCTTGCCTACCTAGCTGGAATATCCTGCCCTGAGGCTCCACAAGCTTTACCATCATGGAAACTCTGAGAAAGGTGGCATATGCTGCTACATGGATTGGGAAGCCATCCACAGAGAGCAGTAACTCTTCATGCTGTGCTCTGGTGGCCTGGACTGCCCCTTACTTACTTCTGCTGTCCTAACACAGATGCACTTCTCATTAAATCATGTACCGTATAGCCCAGCCTCTGTCTATCTCTGGGACTGGAAGATTCACTGTGGGCTCCACTCCCCAGTGCTTTGCTGTGTTTTAAGGCAGCATTGAGTGATTGGCGTAGCATGATGGTTGTCTCACATCCTGGTGGAGGGTGTGACATGCTGGGCAGATGCAGGGGCAGGCAGCTCTCCCACACGCTGAGCCAGCCACATCACCAGCTACGATGATCTGAGCAAGAGATCATCAGAGTCCAGTGTTCCTGTGGGAATGTGGATGACAACTCTGGTCCTGAGGCCTGGATCCTTTGCACCTCCTGTCCCAAGGCCTGGATGCCTACCTGTCCTGCTGTGGTAGCCTCATCCTGCCTCTTGGAACTCTGTATCCGAGGCCTGGGAAGGACTACTGAGCACTGCCCATTAAGCTCCAGCTTCAGGTGAGTTGGGGCTGGAAGCATGGCTGGGACAGACTTGATAACTGCTCATACAAAGGTAATGTGGCCAGGCCTGTAGTAGTATGTATTCACTCATTTAACAGCCTGCATCTCATAGAGCTGGACTTGACAGCACATAGGCTGCTGCCTGTATTGGGAGTCATTTTCTAGGCCTAGGTCTGCAGGTTTGTTGTGCTGATCTGGTGTCAGGGACCTTTGCTTGAGTCCTGGCTCATATTTCATTCCAGTTTCACACACCGCTCCTAGACTCAGAATTTTCTATTGTGATCAGGAAAAAGCCTAGCTGAGATGCTGTCATATCTAATGGGGTGGAGCAGACAACTTCTAGAAAACAGAATTAACTATTTTTAGTATTATTTTAAAAGCAATTCCAGGCATGAAATTTTAAGACATGGAGATGAACTGGTTTCCAGCAGACCTGCTACAGACAGTCTAGCATAATGACACCTCTTTCCCTGAGATTTAGTGATCAAAGTAAAGGATTTTGTTCCTAGCCAGCCACCTCTGCATGCAGACCCCACCCATCCACAGACAATTGTTCCCACTGGGTTCCTGGTGGTCTGGAATGTCCTCAGCAGGAGGGATTTCCACTGAAATACTTAGGGGGAGCCCTCCACTAAAGGCATCATGACAGTTGGAGTGGGCAGGGTGGTCCATCAGGTTAGCAATGCTGGGTGCTAGGAGATAAGCTCAACAAATAGCAGGTGTGTCTGTCTGTCTGTCTGTCTAAGTGTAAAGGAATCAGGAAAACTCACCAATGGGCATGTTTGGGCAGGAGGCCAATTAGATGTGTGTGCTCACAGAAGAGCAGGAAGAAAGCATCTGGGGGCTGTGTGCCTAAGGCCATGTCCCTAGGTCTAGTAATGAAGTTTTAGTAGTAGGGTGTATAGATAAAGGCCTCAAGAAACCTAATAAAACTGGGACTCTACATAGCTGTGCCCTCAGCACTGGTAGGAGCTCTGGTTCTTGCTGGGTCTTTACTGTGTTGGGTGAAGAGGAAACACCCATTGCGTCCCCAAAACTCCTGTGTTGAAAAGAAACATTATGACAGGAAGATACAAACTGTAAGGATGAAACTGATGTCCACAAACAGGGAGAGACGCCTATCAAGAAGACAGTAGAACCAAGTCACTGCCAGTAATTTTAGAACCAATATAAAAGAACAATTTCCAAAAGTAAAGCCACAGGACTAGGGATGTTGCATGCGAGAAACCCTGGGTCGTCATGAGTGGTGTGCACACCTTTAATTCCAGCAGAGGCAGGCAGGTCTCTCTGAGTTGGACAACAGTCTGCATAGTGAGATCCAGGACCACACAGAAAAACCCTGTGCCAACAGAAGAAACCCTGGGTTGATCCTCTATTACCATATAAACCAGGTATGGCAGTAAATACCTAAGATCCTAGCACTTGGGGGGCTCATCTTTGAGGAGGTATGTAAAGCACTTTAAGCTAGCCTGAGATATATAAAACCCTATTCCTCCCCACAAATAGATAAATAACCCCCTCCCCCCAAAAGTTAAGAGGTAGAGATTATCAGAGATTAGGATAGGAGCTGGAGAGATGGCTCAGTGGTTAAAAAAGCATAGTAATCTTGCAAACAACTTGAGTTCACTCCCAGCACCCATATTGTAATTCCATTTTCAGGGGAATTCAATACCTTTGGCCTCAGCAGAAACTATACTCAGATGTAATATTTGTAATTTAAAAAAAAACAAAACCTCAAAATGAGATTAGGAGACAGAAGAGCTTCTGGGGTAGGAAATAGCAGAAGCAGAAGCAGTAGGTGAAAGGTCCCATATAGATGAGGCCCCAGCTCAAACAGAGGCAAAAAGAATCCTGCAAGGTCAGAAGTGCCCCAAGAGAACAGCTGGTAAGTCTGTCTGTGTCCCTGCTGCCCTGGTAAGTCTGTATGTATCCCTGCTGCCTCTGACTACTATGAATGTTCATGGTTAGATGAGCTGGCACCAGGCACACTGGGTGGAATTACACACCTGTTGAGAAAGCACAGTGGCTACCAGCTCATCATCGGGCATCACCATTGGAAAACAGTCTACTGTCCTGAAAAATATGACTGTCAGCTTGGCTAAATGATGTGTATAGTGTATGTCTTAGGGTTTACTATCGCTGTGAGCAGACACCATGACCACAGCAACTCATAAAGAAAACATCTAGCCAGAAGGTGGTGGTGCACGCCTTTAGTCCCAGCACTCTAATGGCAGAGGCAGGTGGATCTCTGTGAGTTCAAGGCCACCCTGGTCTACAGTGAGTTCCAGGACAGCCAGGACTATTGCACAGAGAAACCCGGTCTTGAAAAACAAAACACACACAAAAAAAAGATTGAGGCCTCAAGTTATGTAGCAGAAATGAAAGGGCGAAAACTAACGCACAGAACACAAAGGGAGAAGTTGAAGGAAGCAAAGGGTGACTGACAGTTGTCTGCAAAAGGGAAGCAGAGCAGACAAGGCTCAGAACCTGCAGTGTAGAGCACTTGGCAGCAGCCTCAGCTGAAATGAACGAAGTCCTGGCCTTCCTGCAAGTGCAGTGACTTCAGGTTGTCTTCAAACTCACCCCCTGTGAGGTCCTGTGGGGAGAGGAGATCCGGCTCAGTTGGGCTTCCTCTTGCCCTATGGGATGCTTGCAAAGACTGCTGCTGGGGCTGTCAGGTGGCTCACACTGACTTCTGCTCCTCTACTTATTAGGGGAGGTGCCTGAAGGAAACCAAGGCCAGTGAGGGCAGCAGCTAGTTCTGCTGTTACATAGTTGTGTTGGTCACCAATAGGGGTGAGGCCCTTGCCACCTGGTCTTGGCCCTCTCCAGAAGGCAGTTAAGACACTCTCACTGTTGGTTCAGGCTGATTCACCTATCCTCCTGCCTAGTCAGGGGACTTGGTGTATTCTCTGCCTTTCATCTCTGCAGGATCTGCCAAGCACCCACCCCGATTTCTCTTACCTGTCGCCCCCAATTCCCAAAGGGAGCAAGAACTATGATCTTGCTAAACAACAGTCCAACTAGTGGCAGATGGGACGGCAATCTGGCAGGATATGGGAGGGATCACTCGGTTCCTCCGAAGTAATCTGTCTTTGGGCCAGCAGCACAAGAGGCCTCTGAACTGGGTTGTGACTCAGACCCTACCTTGTCCCACCCATCATTGCTACCAGTGGTTAGAAACACTTGAGTGATCTGGGTGGTAGTGGTGGCATAAAACTTTAATTCCAGCACTTGGGAGGCAGGGGCAGGTGGATCTCTATGTATTCCAGGCCAGTCAGGTTTACAGAGCAAGTCCCAGGACAGCCGGGACTACACAGAGAAACTCTGTCTCAAAACACCTGAGTGAAAACCATTGTGCCCGGAAAAGCAGAAAGATCCACAGTGGCCACACCTGATGCCCTTCCTTTTTTCCCCTCTCACCTCCCTTCTTTTCCCTTCCCTATATTCAAAGAAGTATCAGGCTTGGGCCAGGGTAGGTCAGAGTCTGCCCTGACTACTCAATGGATGCTCCTGTATGTCACATGTCCCTAGGAGAATGAGAGTACAGGTGTGAAAGGAGGTGTTTGCAGGACCCAAAGCCAACAAGGATAACACCAGCATTGGAGAGGATTCTGCCATCACTTCCAGTAGAGGAGGAAGCCCAGTTATAAACATGGTAGAGGAAATCCAAATTTCTACCAGATGAGTGGTGCTCTCAATCATAGCAAAATCATTCTCCAAAAAGGTAGAAACAGTCTGTCCCATACAGGTGGCCTTTGCAGGTGTCACAACCTGACTTCTGGGATAAACCAGAGGAATAGGAGCTCACAGCATCATGATGACAACTGACTCCCACAAGCCAGGGTCTTGACATGCCAACAAGATCCAACAGTCTACATCACATAGGTGCTGAGAAGAACCAGACATAAAAAGTTGGAGTCCATTCACACGAGTGGCAAACATGGTCCTGCCAGTTGAGGTGCCTTGCTGCTGCCCATAGCTCTTCTCTGAGGCTGGGCACACTGGATAGGAAGCTTTGGGCACCTTGCCCATCTCCTTGGAATAACATCAGAACTGTTCTTTTTTTTCCTTTTTTTTTTGGTTTTACGAGACAGGGTTTCTCTGTATTGTTTCGGAGGCTGTCGGTCCAGCCTGGCCTCGAACTCACAGAGATCGCCTCCCTCTGCCTCCTGAGTGCTGGGATTAAAGGCGTGCGCCACCACCGCCCGGCCAGAACTGTTCTTAAGGAGGTTGTAATGGGACTCTGCGTGTTCATCCTCTGTAGTCTAATAAAGCCACTCATGAAAACAGGTGGATGATGGGGGATGATGGGGTCCTTCTGTGTTTATGTTGATGAATAAAGCACTGTTGGCCAATAGGGAAGCAAGATAGGTGGGACTAGGAGTCTAAGAGGATTCTGGGAAATGTAGTGAAGAGGGTGGTCGCCATGTGTTCTGGGAGGAACGGACACATCAGGCATGAGTCCTTGTAAAAATAAATCCTTATAAAATATATATTAGTAATTATGAGTCAATAATTAAGTCAGAGCTAGCTAAGGAGAAACAATAGCAAATGGCCAACAGCCTCATAATTAATATAGTGTCCTGTGTGTTATTTGGGGGCTAAAGCAGCAATGGGACCCAGGTGGGAATCCCACAACAGGTGGAGGGTTCAATGTCACCTGTAGGCCAGTGCTTGCCAACCTGTGTTGAGCCATATTGTGTGTCTGTCATGGGCCACAATACAGCAGTTTAAATAAGAAAAATAAGGGCAGCCAAATAAGTGGTGAGGCCCTGAAATGAGAGTAGGTGATTGGTAGAGGGATACCAGGGGGCAGAAATGACCATCTCAGCCATTGCATTCCATATGAAGAGAATGGGCTGCCTAATATGTGAGGCTGGGATAATTAGATGTTCAAAATAGATTAACTAGGAATTCCTAGCTAAATAACTTCTCACTGTATCACAGATAAAGTTAAGAAGCAGAAGTCCTAGATACAAGTGTGGGCAGTGCTCTGTAGTGTGTCACAGTCAAGAATATCCACCTCAGAATGAATCAAACTTCCCCAAGGGGTCAAGTCAAATAACGTAAGCTCCTCTAAATGGTTAGAATGTAATCAGGTATAAATTAAAACTCTGGGGCCAGAGATGGTTTCAGTAAAGTGCTTGCTGCTATGCTCTGTCTCTAGTAAAGGCTGGGTATGGTGGCAAACACCTGCAATCCCAGCAGTGAGGAGTCAGGGACGGGAGAAGCCCTCAGGCTGCTGGCCAGGGAGTTCAGTGAAAGATCCTGTCTCAGTAATAACGGTGATGGTGTAGAAAGCAACAGAAGATAGTGTCATCCTCGGTCTTCCACTATCATACACAAACCAATATAACACACACACACACACACACACACACACACACACACACACCAAACTATATTCAAGATATGTGACACATCACAGGTAGGTCTATCTTCCTTACTGTGTTAAGAGAAACACTACTGCTAGAAAATGCTTGGTAAGCAGTGGGAACAGAGCCAACTAAGGAGGGGCCTTCCACTCCCGTAGCATGCTGTTACCTTCCTATTTCCAGGTGTGGCTGTTACCATCTGCTACTGTGTGACATCACTCCATAGGAGGCAGACAGACAGACAGACATGTCTCACTTTCTGGGTGGCTAGGACCCAGGCTTAACCCTACCATGACCTGAAATGAGCTGTCACAGATTGGAAGGGTTGAAACATGAGCTGAAGTTCCAACTATGTCATCCACCATCTTGTTTTCCTGAGGGCCCACCTTGTCCATCACTGGTAACAGAGGGAGAAAGCACTATCTTTGAAACTGGTAATACCTTGTCCTGGGGCTGCTGACATTCAGGGTGGCCATGCCCTCTCACCTGGCTAGACTCCTGGAAATTCCCACAAGGACTTTGAAAAACTGTTCAAAAGCAAAAGGTGTCAAGCAAACCACAGATAACTTACCAGCACTTGCAGTGAGGGGTCTTTAGAATAAGACTATCCTGGACCCAAAGCTGGAGCAGGATGGTGGGTGGCAGGAATGCTGACTATCGCCTGCTGGTCAGAGGCCAACGGTGAGCAGATGCAGTTTGACCAGAGTGACTGAGGTACAAGGTGTGCTCGGCTCTGGCTCAGCCTGCACCCAGAAGCTTCTCAGTGTAAAGACAGGCCCATTTTACTACAGCGAGGAAAAGCCACGGATGGGAGATAGGGCTACTGACTAGCAGGATTGCACATGGTCAGTTACCTGGGGCAGGTCACATGGGCAGGACGTACTAGCCCTCCACCAGCACATATCCCTTCCAGGTGAACTCAACTCTGATGGATGCTGTCTGTTAATAAGCATGATGCTATGTACAGGAAAGAACTTCCTATGCAGGATACTAAACTGTCATTATAAAACCAGTTAGTGTCATCACATTAAAGAGTTCTGGGAATAATAATCGGAAGAGCAGAGTCTCCTGCCATACGCTTGCCCAACCAATGAACAGTGCCCAGAGCAGATAAAGGAAGGTTAGCCTTAGCTCCAGTAAGAAGCTTGCTGTCTTGTCATTTTCAGCTTGGCACAACTGTTGGGGACTCATTTCCTGGAGAGAGTGTGGGACTCTGTTTAGCACTGACCACAAGTAACCTTGGTTTCCACAGAAACAGAATGCTTGGCACCTGTGCCCACATGACCAAAAGCAGAGAAACCAGATAAACCAAAGGAGGGTCCTATAGTCCCACTGGTCACCACCAGGCTGTTGTTACATGTGGGCAAACCTACCCTGTGAGTAACATGAACCACAGCACCTTGAACATGGTGGTGGCGGCCGGGCTCAGAATAATGGTTTTCACTTTATGAGTGTTACCAGACATGCCCACCTCAACCCCCTACCCTCCTCTAGCACTCACAGGGCCACTCCCCAGCTGCCTCCAGCCCACAGAGCAGCAGCTGTGCCTCTAACCTAGCTCAGGATGGTTTTATGGCAACGGGGTTTAGAGCTGATTTACAGTACAGGTATAGGTAGTGGGCTGCGTCCCAATGCCCATGATCAGGTCTTGTCCTTGGTTTTGGTCATATGATCAGAGCGGGAAGGCTGATACCCAGGAGCCCTGCAACCATACCCAACACCTACCAGTTTCACACAGATGACAAAGGGTGACTTGGCAGCTTGGAAGTGCAGGATGGGGACCTTCGGCTTGGGTCTTTCCTATAGAGATGGTGCCAGCCGTGAATCACCAGGGCTTCACACAGAAGGAGCTCCCGGGGACATGTCCTAACTATGGCTTCTGCTCACAGTAGCTTCTGGTCAAGTAGCAGATGGGAGTCTTGGGCCAATAGGGCAGGACAGGTGGCTGTGACCTGGGTTCTGGCAGCCCCAGCCACCTGATAACCACAAGAAGAACCAACTCTGGTATGCCAACATTGAGGCCCAGACCAAAGGAATATGTAGCAGTGTCCCCAAGGACAGGGGCAGAGTCCTAAAGGATTCTGGAGACTCTTTGAGGGCTGAGGGCTACATTTTGGGGCAGAGCCAAAGCGAGTGTAAGGGAAAACTGGATGGTGTGAATGACCCTTCCCTGTAAGGTGCTTTGGTGCCCCACCACACGGTTACATACCTGAGAGTCCTCGTGGCAGTAGACGCCCTTCCTGATTTTGTTCTCATCAACATCACAGAAGGCCACCACCTGGGGATGAACATGGACCAGCAGGTCAGACGGTGGTGGTGTGTGTAGGATAAAGTCGTGATAGGATCGTGGGAGTCAGGATAGTGTCCAACAGCATGAGGAGGAAAGGGTCCTACCTTGCGCCGGCTGGCTGCAGTCAGGCTGCGGTACAACCTTCGCCCCTGCTTGCCTGCATTCCAAATGGTGAAGGACTTCCAACGAGGCAGGACCCGTTCCTCTAGAAAGTGGACGCGGTGGATCCAGATGGTCATCCTGCAGCCAAGAAGAGGGGAAAGCTAGGGCTGGCCGGATGTTGTGGGCTCTAGAGCCACCTCACCCATTAGCCCTGGGGACACACATGAATGGCACACATGTGTACTTAGGCTTACCCTGTTTAGGGGTGAGGGCGCACGAACCATAGCCAAGGGAGATCTGGCCTTATTTGTCACAGTCAAGAGGTCAACACGAGTCACCATGTAAACCAATGCCCTTTGGGAGGCCTTTAGCCCCTCATACTGGTCCTGCTTTCTAGGTGGGACCTCGAGAGATGTAGACTTGATGGATGGGGCCTCTCCACAGCTGTCAGTCATACCAGCACATGAGTGTCTCCAGTATGTGGCAGGCATGTATACATATGTAAACATACAGGAGGGTTCATGCAAAAGCCAGCTGTTGGCATCAGGTATCTTTATCATTCTCCACCTTATGTTTTGAGACAGGGTTGAACCTGGAGCTCACCAAGTCATCAAGACTAACCAGCCAACAAGCTCCAGGGATCCTCCTGTTTCCCTTCTCAGCACTAGGGTTACAGGTGTGTGTTGCCACTTTTAGCTTTTTATGTGGGTGCTGGGGATTGAACTTAGGTCCTCGTGTTCCTGTAGCAAGCATGTCACTGGCAGCCATCTCCCCAGGCCCCAAATTCTAGTCCTTTTGAGTCAGAACCTGAAAAGGGAGTTACAAGGTGTCTAGTCTCCCTGGTCTAATTTCCCAGATGAGTCAATACTCACGAGAAAGGTCTGGGTAAAAAGTTATGTTCACTAGGAAGTAAACTTTGTGTCTCTTCCCTCAGACAATCCCAAAGATGTCCCTTTCCGGGCACAGACAGACTTGTCCCCAGGCAGTAGGATGCAGATCTCCAGGGCTGGTTCCTTCTCAGGACCCCTGAGCTCTACTCACATGCTGTCCCTCATCTTAGGACCAGGCATTCTGGGCACAGACCCCAGCACTCTGGTCCTTTGGATGGTACCTCCCTTGTATTCAGGGCTAACCCACATCAAAGTATGTTTTGCCTGTTCAGCACTTTCCTGAGACTGCCTGTGTTAAAACATTCTAATTAGGGTTTGTGCTGAGCTCAGTGATTTTGTTAGGGGATTCCCTAGAGGTTCTGGGGAACTGTGTAAGTGAATAACATTTCATTCTGAACCCCAGACAGTCCTCTCTATGGCTGTAATGCCCCCCCCCGTTTATAAGAGAAAGTCATAAACAGGACGTGCTTCAGTCCCATACAGTGTACATCTCTGCAAACATGCTGTCACACAAGGAAATGGAACACACTAAGAGCGAGAACCTTGATCTCACAACACAGGCCTCAAGCAAGGGTCAGATATTTCACCAATGTCATAAGCCAAGAAAGGCCCTTCTGTTTTCTATCCCTCAGCAAACTTCAGTGTGGTGGGAACAGAAGGGTAGAGCCAAAGGCAAAAAAGCTAAGACTTGTCTCTTGAAGAGGTGGTGACATGCATATGCCTATCTGCTTTGCCTAAGTGTGGGTGAGGGACCTCCAGGCACAGGCTGCTCAGACCCTGTGGTATGCCAACTGTCCATCCTCCAACCTCATCCTAGCTACAAGTGTCCCCCTTCCCTTCCACCTTTTAAGCAAGGGCCTTTTCAGGGGACCTGCTTGGAGAGAACCCACTATTAGGGTTCATGGCTATAGCAACACAAGAGATGTAACAGGATACTGGGCCCCTCTGTCATCTTAGGCTCCTCAAGGAATGTCCTGCCTAGGTAGCTGCTTGTCCTTACTTGATCTCTGAGGACAACCTGAGAATTTGTCCCCATAGCCTTGGTAATTACAGTCAGTGCCTGAGCATGATGTACACTGTATTATGTATGTATGAGAGTATATGTACAGTGTACTTGTGTGGTAAATGTGCACATATGCAGTGATTGATCACACATATGCATCTCTGCATATGTATATGTGGCATGGCCATAGGTAAGTAAACATGTGTACAACAGCAGCTGCTGCTAGAGACTAAGCACAGATGATGTGTGGGTGATATCCTGCATACACTGGCTGGATCGACTGGGTGTCTCTGTGTGAGAAAAACCCTGATATTTCCATGTTCCATCTGTGAAGTTTATTTGCAAGATGGCAGGTTTAACTGTACAGTGAAATTAACTTGGTTCCCCAAACACTGGGCACCAATGATTTTATACAGCAATTACAAACATGTCCGCCATAAGGCCCTGAGTTTTGTTAGGTGGCCTCTGATTGAGGTGTGTGTGCAGGCAGTTATGAACAGGTATGCTGCAGAAACTGCTGGACATCTGAGCCTTGCTAGCAGCATCCTGCATTGGCCCTGTTTCTCTGAGGAGTCTGCCTAGAAAACAGGCCATCTGACACCCAGCAAGTCTGTCTCTTTTTGTTAAGAGACCATCAACTTAGAGCTGGGGTTAAGAGCTAAGGGAACTGGTTTTCTTAGACCCATATGCTCAAGCTTCTGGAACTTTTTGGGAAGGGGTTGGAACATCACAGACTCAGCACTGTACTACCATGCCTGTCCACCGGTTAGCGGTGGTTGATGGGATGGGAAAGGCCCATATTCCCAGAAGGCATGGCCATTGGTCAGCAGCATCTGTGGCCAGAAAAAGAGCTACAAAAAACTTGCTAGAGGCACACAGGGCATGGCCCTGTCCTGTCAAGTACCACAGGAGCAGCATGCCAGCACAGGTAGTCTGAGGCTGGATACCAGGGGTCAGGACACTAGGGGTGCCTGTCTGGTCCCCTCTTCCCTACTTCTGAGGCACGCTCTGTTGCTATACTCATCTGGGGAAACAGCCTTATCTGGTTCTCTCCAAACATTTGATGAAGGCACAAATCCAGCATCATACTGCCATGGAAACAAAGTCAGAAACATGCTTCTCTACAGACCTCAACTGTTATACTAGAAAGCAAACAGCTATAGGCAGCACATGTATCATAGGAGACTAAACATAATGTCTATAAGATGAAATATCAGTAAAAATATAAAGAGGATCAAGTGGCAACACAGTAGGTTGAACAGCTCACACGTTTAAGGAATGTCTGATTTCCTAAAGATGCTATTCTCTTATATATGTCTTTTGGTATCTGAGTTATTCCACACAAAGATAAATGACACCAATTCAGGCCATTTTGAGCTTGAAATAAAAATGACAGAATCAAGGCATCACCACCTGAAGACTTCTGATAATTTAAACAAATGCAACTCTTAAGCAAGCCTCGGGTTATAATTACAGCTGTTATCCTGGGAGGTGCTGCAGCTCACAGCTTAAAGACTTTAATCCAACACAGAAACTCATATTAGGTCACTTATTTTTATGCTGTGGGTGGCAAAGCTTACTGTGCAAACACAAAGGAGTGAACTATGTATACACAGGCTGCTCTGTTGAGGGGCATGATGAGAGTGCCTGCTGGGTGGGCTGCAAGCCACCACCCAGGCGTCTTGAGCCCCACAGACAAGCAAGCATGGGAAGGACCTCCCTTACACAAATGATCACATGATCTCGAGGCATCTCACATTCACATGGTCTACAGGATGACGATGCTGGATGAGCATAGTATTTCACTCAGTCAGTAGAATCAACACCACAAACACCTGCAGCTTGGTGACCAGATAGCTCCCACAGTGCTTTGTCACTAATGTCAATATACAGTGGGAAAGGGTTTCTTTGGAGAAATAGTGCTGTGTGTTTTAATTCAGGTGTAGTTTACACAAAATTATGTAAACCATGCTAGCTGATTTTTAACACAGTTGTACTTGAGCTATGTATCTGTTTCACATACGTGGCTGGACCTAGTTTGCTAGTGTGACTGATGCTTGACCACTTATCGAGAAACATGGTCTGCCACTCATTCTGTTGTCATACCTCTGTCTCATGCACAGTGCAGACTGAAGAGTTAACAAGCTCTCTTCTTTTACACGAAGAGCAAGCCTGGTACCAAATCTTTACTCAGTGGGCTTGGAGGGCCAAGGACAGCTGGCCAGACAAAGAAAAGTGAACGGGGCCATCAGCTATGGAGGCGTGACTCAGCCACTAACTGTGACAACTTCTGCTACCATGGGACTTGTTAGCCTGTCAGACCACCTCTTGGGTCCCATGGTGAGCCAACTAGGTTAGAGCAAATGAGAACAAAGCTGAGAGTAAGCCTTCACGTCACACAATCAGGGAAACTGGTGTTTGGCTTTGGCATTGGTATTTCCTGACCTCTGTGGAACGGGACATCCAGAAACCCTGAAGGGCTCCCTTCAAGGTACTACAGTATACTCTGACCCCACCCTTCCCTCCTCAGTAGTAGGTCCTATATCCCACCATTATAAGCTTCATGGGAGAGCCCTGACTCCACCAATCCTGGGCCCAACCAAACCAGTGACTTACAAGTGATCTGGGCCTGGCCACATCTGCATCTCACCTGTGTTTGGGCCATCCCGGGTATTTCCAGAACTTGGTTATGTCCTACTTACTCAAGGACTGAATGTGTGGTGGCATACAGGTGGTAGCGGTAGAGGAGCAGTTTGTGGTCCACCCGGAATACACCACCCCCTTTCCTAAGGTGCTCATAGAAGAACAGCAGGTCCTCTGGTACCCCCTGAAAAAGCCAGAGAACAGTGTTTAGCATGCTGGGTACTGACCTAGGCCATCAGATGCTACGGGAGGGTGTTTTGCTTAGAGCCAAGTATGGTGGCACTTGCTGGGAAGCAGCGCTCACAGGATTGCTTGAGCCCAGAAGCTAGTGCTCAACCTGAACACCACAGCCAGACTCCGTCTCAATAAAAAGAACCCAACTCTTTGACACTCAAGGGAGATGTGTAGGGTGGTGCAGGTCACACTAAAGAAAGGGAGATGAGTAGCCTGTTTTCTCAGCAGGTAAGAAACGAACTCTAAGACAGACATGAGGATGCAATAGAGGGAAGTCTAGATGGGGGTCTGAAGTATCAATTCTGGGATAATCATAAGCACAAGAGCTGCATGGCCTTGGGAATGGAAAGCTCACTCAATGAGATGCTGAATGTGTGTGTGTGTGTGTGTGTGTGTGTGTGTGTGTGTGTGTGTGTGTGTGTGTGTGTCGGCTGGGTCAGAATGCAAGGAAGGCTGAGATGAAAGGGAACTATTACATGGCTGTACTTTAACATCATGGGCAGAAGGGGGTGATGTTGAGCCAGGAATCAGGAAATAGGCAGAGGAGCCAGGGAGGTGAAAGTACACTTGTCTCAAGCAGAACAAACATTACCAAGATGAAAATTCACTTCCTCCCCCTCCATATCAAACACAAATGTGATCAAGTAACAAATCTTGAGACAAGTCTCTGAGCTGTATCACACACCCTTAGAAAAAACGGAAGGAGTGGAAGTGGGAACATTTTTGGATTGAAAAATCAAGACCTACTCAAACTGGTTCCAAAACAGAGAGTAAATAATACAAAACAGATCTGAGGAATGGCTTAGCTCAGGCTGGCGTCAGGCTCACCAGAACAGAGATGTTGCTTAGGGGTGGCAATGTTCACTGCTGCCAGGCAGGGGCTAGACAGCATGGCCAAATGACTGTTAGCCAGCTCCCTGCAGGATACAACCCAGCCCTGGGCTCATTTTCTCAGGTGGCTGAAGATATGCCCTCCCACCAACAGCCATTAATCCAGGATGAAGTACGTAAAACCCACAGCCAAAGATGCACCAAAGAAGGTGTAGATTAGAGCATACTTACCAGTGCCCTGCAGGCACCTCCCCACCCTAGGGAACCAACAAAGAGCCCAAGTTCTACTGGTTGGCACTTACCCGTCCTCCTTCATCAAATGGGCCCACATGGGAAAACCAGGCGCGAGAGCAGAACCAGGTGGGCATGATCACTGTGGGGCCGTGGGAGGTGAACACCTAAAAGCAATTAGCACCAATGTCATTAATAGAAAAGAACAGCTTGTTAGAAAAAAAAAACCCACAGTCTGTTACTCAGTGTCATTGAGAAAATGTCAAAAAGAATTTATGCCCCTTCTTTGTGGGAACAAGGATTGGGCCATAAGACAGGATGAAATTAACCTAGGCCACTTCCAAATTGCCACTCTCTCCACCGGATGCTCACCACTAAGCGTATTAGGGAACCCTCTGTTTATGCTGTGTGTAGGAACTGACAGTAAACACTGCTCTTAACTGCAAGAAAAGAAACCTGAAGTAGCATGAAAGGATACCAACGACGACTAGAACAGGAAGCTGAACACGGCTTCCTAGAACGGCGTAAATATCAGAGTTGACTCAAGACAGAAAACCTGAGTAATTTCTAACGAGCCTGAGACTTGAGCCCTCCCACAAAGAAAAGCCCAGGCGAGGTGGATCTCTGGTGAATGCTGCCAAACGCTTACAGAGCCAACACCCTCTTCACAGTCTCCTCCAAAAGCAACTGTGCAGTGTTCCTAAGTCACTTTATGTAGCCAGGATCGCCGGATCAAAAGCCAGGCAAAGAATGTCACAAGAAAGCAACACACACGTGTTACGAATAGAGCCAACAAAGTGTTTGTGAACTGAGCTTATGTCACAGAAAAGGATCATATTCAAGAGTAGGTGATATTCACTCTTAGACAAATGCACCAGAAACAGACTGATGTCAAGAACCTAAATAGACACTGTAGCATTTGGCAAAACCCAACTCTCTGCCAATAAAAGCCCTGGGCTGTCCAGAGGATCAGCTTAGATAATGTGCATAAATCACTTGGCAGGCATCAAGACTGGTGCCCTGCAGTACTCAGTTAAGTTCTTTGCCTCCACTGCCTTTAACTTTTAGGTTTGCCATGCACTTCAAACATACCCATTCTTTTTCATCCATCGCTCTGCCTTCTTAGTAGCCAGCTCTTACGCACCCTTTAAAACACCAACCAGCATGTTTTTAGTTAAAAGACACTTCCCTGGGATGCCCTCCCTAGAGCTTTCTGTCATCACACTGCATGCAATCAGCTGTTTATAATTTGCCTCTCAGCACTGGCTGGAGCTTGGGGGGGGCAGAGAGTGCCCAGAGTGCACCTTCTGGATAGGACGATTTCAATATGCTTGCATTACCTTGATTACAAATGGTCTGGGTGCCGGGCAGTGGTGATGCACACCTTTAATTCCAGCACTCAGGAGGCGGAGGGATCTCTATGAGTTCGAGGCTAGCCTGGTCTGCAGAGTGAGTTCCAGGACAGCCAGGACTGTTACACAGAGAAACCCTGTCTCAAAAAACAAAACAAAACAAAAAACAAATGGCCTGGGCCCAGGCCCAGCTGAACCTAGGGCAAATGTCTATATTAGAAAGGTAAAAAAGAACAGCCAAATCTTGTTGGATGTGGTAACACACACTTATAATCTAAGCACTGTCAAGGTACCGTAGCATGCCAATGTATACACGCTCATGAATGGATAAATAAAAGACATTTTAAATTAGGCTTAATGGATAAAGGTCCTTGCCACCAAGCCTGATGGTTTGAGTCCAACCTCTGGAAACTTGATATGGTAGGAAGAAAATAGTGTTTCTCAAACTGTCCTCTGACCTCCACACATGGGTAATGGAAGGAGCATGCTCACACAAAGAATCAATCAATCAATGCTTAAAACATTTTAAAACCACAATTGTAATGTGGAGGCTACAGCTGGAAGATCAGAAGTTCAAGACCAGCCTGGGCTACATGAGCCTCACGATGAAAAAACTAAAAGTCAGCTCTCAAAGGAGACAGCAGTGAGGGGACTGCAGCATCTCTAAGCCAGGTCTGCCCTGGATGGGAAAAAGACTCACAGCCCTAACTCCTGTGTTACCTGTTTCAGGTGTCTGTCCTGATTAATGGTCCCCTTTCCCTGCTTCTTCCCCAGTACACCAGCAGGAGAACTCTCCAGTGATGTCTTTGACATGACCACCTACCTCAACACCATCAAACAAATCTCTATGGTAGTAATATCCATCTGAGTGGTGAAGGTCAGCTGTGTGGCTAGGTTCCAGGCTATGGTGGTTGAGCAGGCCTGGTATCAATGGTGACCAACACACCACATCCTAGGGTACAGCGATCCCAAGGTCCCAGACTTTTAGGAACTTCACACAGAGAAAAGGAAATCAAAGGGACTCTTCCCACTAGTCTAGTTCCCACCTCCCTGAAGTCTGGTCCAGTCCCTGCTGGAGTGACAGCCTCACAGTTGTTGTCCCAAAGAAATGGCTGTCAGAAATGAAGTATATTGTCTTTCTTTCCCTCCCTCCCTCCCTCCCTCCTTCCCTCCCTCCCTCCCTCCCTCCCTCCCTCCTTTGAGACAAAGACATGAAATTCTTTCCATCTGTCCCCCAAAAGGGAGAGAATTAAGTTTGTTTTTACAAGGATGTCAGCAGACTGCTTCAATACGGAGTCAGAGATAGATTGCTCAGGCAGTGGGGAAGGCACAGGGGATAGGGCAGACACTGACACCTGGGGCAGCTAGGGTCCAGGAGTGCCTGGATAAGTTTCTATGTCCACCCTCAGCAGTTTGAAGGTGGCAACTAAAGAGATGAGGGACCCATAGGCAAAGGGCCATGCCAATATCACTGCTATAAAACCCTTCTTCCCTCAGTGCCTTCAAAGTCAGGCCCTACTTGGGTAGCTCCAGTCCCTGAGAGCCATTGACACCAGACATCTCATGGGCAGCCAGATGTTAGAAGAAGAGGAAGGGATGTCTTTTCTTATCAAGGGTCCAAGTAGCTGGTTCTGATAACCCCCACTCAAACTGAGATGCCACATGTGTGGTGCTCAAACAAGGTAGGTCTGTGTGTGCTCCAATACTGAGTCACAGACACTAGGGTCCCGGGGCCCTCAAAGCATCCGCCTTCAGGTTTCAGGATTCAATCTGTAAGCAGAAGTCTCAGCTCCCTACCCCCAACCCCTTTTTTCAATTTTTGTTTTTTGAGACAGGGTCTCACTATGTAAGCTCTTGCTGTCCTCAGACTCACAGAGATCCACCTGACTCTGCTTCCCAGGTGCTGGAATTAAAGACATGCGCCACCACACCAGCTCCACATTTTTTTAAGGGTTATTATTTATGTGTGTGAGTATTTTGTCTGCATGTATGACTTGCACCATGTTCCTGCCTGGTGCCCTCAAGGGTCAGAAGAGGAAACTGGATAGACGGCTGGAGTTATAGATGGTTGTGAGGCACCCTGTGGGTGCTGGGAATTGAACCTGGGTCTTCTGCAAGAATGAGTGTCCTTGTCTACCACCATACCACCCCGAAAGCACCCGATCTCGGAAGCTAAGCAGGGTCAGGCCTGGTCCGCACTTGGATAGAAAAATAAGTATGTTAACCACTATGCCAACTCTCTAGCTCCTACCTCCACTTCTTGGTGGGGTTTGGAGTTCCAGAACCTTCTCACTTCTTTCTGAGCCTCAGGGGTCCTATTAGAACTTGATTCTAGGTGCCTTATGGTATCCAGGGAACCACTGCTTCAATCCACTGACCTAGCACTGGCCCCACATGATGTAGATGCTATTCAATGCAGAGATATCAATATGGTTTATTTATCTGGGGGAAGGGTTGTTATTGTTTACAGGTTTTTTTTGTTTTGTTTTTGTTTTGTTCCATTGATCCCAGAACCTCACACAGACATCCTACATTCCCAGCCCTCTTTGCTTTTTATTTTGATGCACTAAGTTGCCCTGGCTGGTCTTTAACTTTCCAGCCTTAATCTCAGCCCCCAGTATGACTGGGATTACGCCCAGTTTATAGTCTAATAATAGAGGTCAAGTTGGACCTAGCCTTAGCAAGTTCAGCCCATTATTAGGACTCTCCAAAGTTAGCACTGACCCCCGAGAGGAGGTGCTTATCTCCTGACCACCCTGTCCCCCAACCTCCCCTAAGGAAAGGCTCCTCCCCATGACACAAGGCCCAGACTCTCAGCACCATTACTAAGTCATCACTGTCCTTCTTGGTTCCTGGAGCTAGAATCCCTAGGTCTTAGACTGGATTTGGATGTCCAAAAGGAAAGAACCAGAGGTTGTCCCAAGGCTTTGGCTCAGCCCCATTGGAGAGGCCTTGCTAACGGTTCCCGTTTAGAGTCTCAAGTACTAGTCTCTGGAGTCACCAGCTCTTGACAAGGTCTGTGACCCAGGGGAAAGTGACTTTTGGCTTTCACATCTAAGATGGGGGTAGTAGCCAAGCATGGTGCACACCTTTCATTTTAGCATTCAGAAGGCAGAGGTAGATCAACCTCTGTGAGTTTGAGGCCAGCCTGGTCTATACAGCAAGTTCTAGACCAGCCAGAGCCCACAGTGAGACCTTATCCTATTTAAGTTAGGAGTCAAATGTTATTTCCTTAACTTGCTATGGAGTGCTTCAAAAAAACAAAACAAAAAACACAGCAGATGCCTGGCTTAACATGGTGCAATGCTGGAAGGTTGCCCCTGAGGTCAAGAATGTCTGTTCTCATCATTCTTGTTCAACACTGTGAGAGGAAATTCTAGCCCGTGCACGTGGACATTAAACAAACAGAACCCAGTGTGGAAAGGAACTCGCTATTTGAAGATTACATGATTATGTAAATAAAAAAACCCAAGAAGAGAGAGAGAGAGAGAGAGAGAGAGAGAGAGAGAGAGAGAGAGAGAGAGAGAGAGACCGACCCAATCTTTAGCAAAGCAAAATTCAACTGGATTCTAGGTACTAGCAATAATCACTCCGAAAATAAAACAAAATACTTTCAAGCTGGAGATATAGTTCAGTTGATAGAGTGCAGGTCAGTTTTCCCAGCACCAGTTGTTGGAGGCACAGTTTTTTTTTTTCTTCAAAATGTTTTTGGCACGTCTGGAGAGATGCATCCGTGGTTAAGGGAACTTGCAGCTCTTCCAGAGGATGTGGGTTCAGTTCCCAGTACTCACATGGTTGCTAACAAACATCTGTAAGTTCCAGAGAATCAAGTACCACATTGTGGCCTCCAGTGGCACCACATACATTCATGTACAGGAATTAAAAATAAAATCTTAAAAATTTAATTAGGTGACTGTTGGCTGCACATGAAAGAGCTCTAGCCTAGCAAACATAGCTCTGGCAGGCCTTATCCTTCTCCCCCATCCCCTCTGCCTTGCTAAAAACCATTAGATTACTTTCCTGAAGCTAGTCCCCAAGTCTATCACCTTATTTGGCCACTTATTCCTCCTGAGGCTGACTACCAAGGTCCAGCTATCAAAGTAGTGAAGTCCAACAATCAAAAGCTCCCTTTGGCTTACCTAATTAACATGCCCAATTAAAATTAAACACCTCATCCTAACACAGGGGTTCCCCTTTAACCTTTATAAACTGCCATTTTCCTATGGGTCACACCTGTCTCCTCTCTAACCAGAAATAGTTCTTTGTTTCCCCCAGGGGACAACTATCCCTGCCCCTTTTCCTTTATTCCCTTCTCCTTCATCATCTATCTTGCCTTTGTCACTTATCCCTGTCTTCTGTCCGTCTGGGACAAATAAATCTGTTGTATTGAGAACCTAGGTCTTGAGGTGTCCTGAGACAATACTGATCTCTTACAGAATGGGTTTATGTTATGGGACATTTGATCACTGTGTGAAGATGTATCTCTGTCCTTCCTCACTTACCTAAGGTACCTTCTGACTGGTTTAATAAAGAGCTGCACAGCCAATAGCTAGGCAAGAGAGCATAGGCAGAGACAGGAACTCTGGAAGGAAACTGGTGGGAGAGATTTGTTAGTGTCACGGTGGGAGGTAACAAATCATGTGTCAGAATGTAGGTTAATATAAACAAGTTAATTTAAGTTTTAAGAGCTAGTTGGGAACATTCTTAAGCTAAGGCCAAGCTTTCATAATTAATAAAAAGTCTCTGTGCCATCATTTGGGAGCCTGTGGTCCAAAGAAGTTCAATTTATGAATCTTCAGCTCCACAGGTCTGTATGCCTGGTTTAGTATCACTAGCCTCCCAGTTTTGCTATTATGGCTCTGTGGTATCTGAAAGCAGGTATTACAACTATACCATTGTTTTCTGTCTAGGATTGCTTAGGCACTTAAGAGTCCTTTATGCTTCCATGTAAAATTTGTTATGATTTTTTTGTTGCTGTTGTTGTGAGACAGGGTTTCTCTATGTAGCCTTGGCTTTCCTGGAACTTGCTCTGTAGCCAGGCTGACCTCCAACTCACAGATAGTCTCCTGCCTCTGCTACCCAAGTGCTGGGATTAAAAGTGTGTACCACCACTGCCTGGCATTACTGGAGTTAATTTTCCCGATCCATGAGCATGGGAGGTTTTTTCATCTTTAAGCTGTCTTCAACTCCATTCCCAGTTTTAAAAGTTCTCATTGTAGAGGTCCTTCATCTTCCTAATTAGGGCTATTCTTAGGTATTTCTTATGTTACTGTAAAAACTTCTTAGTAAGTTCCTTACTGGCATATAGAAAAGTTACTGATTTTTTGTAGTTGCTTTTATCTCCTAATACTTTGCTGAAAGTGTTTAACAGAGGTAAGAGTGTTTTGGTGGAGGCGTTGGGGGTATCTTTTAAGTATAGGGTAATACTGGGTACAAACAGGAATAGCTACTTGACACCTTTCATATTTGCATCCCTTTTCTTCCTCTTGCTTTATAGCTCTAGATTAGACTCTCAAGTCCCACACTGAAGAAGAGTGGAGTGGATATCTTTATTTCACTCTTGATTTTAGAAGAAATGTTTTCAGTTTTCTCACTCAGTCAAATGTTATCTCTAGCTACAGCTATGGCGTACAGCCAAATACACTGAGGTATGTCTTTCTATTCCTAGTTTCTTTGTGGCTCTTATCTTGAAGGGACGTTAAACTTGGTCCAGGGCTGAGGAAAGTCTAGCACAGTACATCAATCTGTAAGATTATGCACATACATTCCTGACCCCAGAGAAATGTAGGCATGCACCACATACACTTCCAAAGACAGACACATGTATAGGTATAGACCACATGTGGACACATGTACTGAATGGCTGGCTATCGGTGGACTTGACAATATAGGACAGGCCAAGTGAGAGCAATCAACAGGGTCCTGGAGATTTATTTGTCCTGAGTAAGTGGGCAGCTCCCGTGACTGCCCTTTCAGCGGGTGCTAACCTAAGAACTTGTTTCTGCTTGGGGTGTTTTAAAGTTTGGTTTCCAACAAGACAGCACTTGCAAGGCTCCCGATGCTTTAGAAACTTGCCAGCCACTGGTTATTTTATTATCATTTAAACTGCCACTTATTTATTCTTAACTAACCTGTTTTCACCTGTCAAGATGTAAAATGTAGTATGTTCAGTGGTCAGTGATCTGGGTTCCCAAACAGGGATGCAACTGGGCAGCAGGTGATTCTCTTTGAATACATATATCTCCCTTTACCTAGGACCCTAACAAGATCATTCCTCTCTTACCACTACAAGAAGTCCACACGAGCAAGAAAGTTTTGAGAGGACCAGAGGCTTTGGCCAATTGATCACTGACTCGGGGTCATGGTTTCTCTCAGGAGATGTCGTTAATCCTATGAGTCATTATAAGAAGTTCAAAGCTGCCTTAGAAGAAAAAGAACTTTTGGCAGTTTGGGGGAATGGTATAAACCCGGGGCATAGAACAAGTCACCTCTACTGGTAAGCAAGAGATGAGTGTCAGACATCTGATCACTTCGTACCTTCTCTTCTGCCTCTGCTACCTTGGGAACACAGGGAAGGCATTGAAGAGATAAGGCCAGGCTTGCTGGTATCCTCAGTGCAAAGGGCTCTCCACTTTCCCCATTTTTGAAGGATGACATCAGAATATCTGGCCTGGGCACTTCAGGATCTCACTGGGGTAACTATAAGAGATAATAACAAGGCTCCTTCCTCACAGGGAGATGAGGAGAAGAAAGATGTCCTTCAGGGCACAACAGAGCTGTGACACCTTCCTCAGGGTCCTGAAACATCTGGACCAGCTCTGCCAACAAGGGATGACAATAACAAGGAAGGGACTCCCACATTCCCTAGTGCAGGCAGATCTTTATGAGATGAGGTGATCAGAAAGTTTGTAACACACGTGTGTGCACATGCACTACACACATAAGCACACTATGCAAGTTAAGAGGCCTCTGCATCAAAGGCTATGGTCAGCCTGAACAGACAACCCTCAGAGTGGAGAAAGATCTAAATGTTAAGAAGGCTTCTACCAATGAACAATAAAACCTAACAGCTTCAATTAAAATGGGCAAAAGATGTGATCAGGTATTTTTCCACAAAAGACACAGTGAGCTCAACACATATATGAACAGCTGATCAGCTTTGCTTGGCACCAGAGAAACGGAAGTCAAAACCTTGTGAGATGCACCTTTGCTCCCCGTAGGAATCTGCTATCACTGCTCCTCCCCAATCAGATGCTATGGATATATGATAAGGCTATGGAGAAATCAGGGATCCCTTACCCCCACCACTGCTGGTAAAACTGCTGTGAAAAATAGGTTGGCAGTTCCTTAAAACCTTGAAAATAGAATTACCGTATGATCTGGCAATTCCTCTTATGGGTACACACCCGAGAACTGAAAGTGGGGATGGAACAGGTGTCTGTAAACTCACACTCACAGCGGCCAGAAGATGGAGGCAAACACGGACAAGCAAGCATGCAGCCCAAGCACGTCATGGAGTCTGACTCAGCCCCAAGAAGAGGTTCTGGCAGCTGCTGGAACACGGATGACCCTGTAGACACTATGCCAGGTGAAGCAGCCAGTAACAGACTTGCATGGCTCCATTTATGAGGCCCTAAAGTTGTCAAGCTCCTAGAGACAGGGAGGCTATTAGCAGGCCTGGGATGGGGGTGATATCAATACTCAGAAGAGTCTAAGTTTGGGAAGACAAAGTTCTGTAGGCAGCAATGGCCACATCATCATGTAAATATGCTTAATGCCACTGAGCTGTGCAAAAAGAAAAAGTACTCAAATGGTGTAATCCACATGTACTTTTACAATCAAAAACAATTGTTAAACAAATTTGCCATTGTACCAGCTGCCTGCAGTGACACTTGTGCCTCATGACCACTTCCAAGAGGTTCCAGACACTCATGTAGCTTCGGTAATGAGAAGGATCATTATTCCAGGTGCTTGGAGAGCACATCAAGCTACCTAGATGATTCCACACAGAGTCCATGATGAGTCTGAAAGTAGTTCACCTGGAGTCATGACTGACAGAAGAAATGTTAAGTGTATGATGCACACCCTGTTTCACACAGATTGGTGGGACCCTGAGATCTTGATGTTCTGGTATCTTTAGTTCCAACATGATATATCTGAGATGATCATGATCTTGGCTGACCATTTCCACAAGCTCCTGCTACAAAATTCAAGAGAATCTTGCTCAGTAAGCTGAAGCCCAGTGTTTTTGCTCTCCTACTTCAGTCCATGAAATTTCCACCCAGCAGTCGCTCGTTGAGGTCTGTTGAGTACTTGAGGCCCCAGTGCACAGGGTTCCATCACCGGTTTTGAGGTCTAGACTCAGAAATTTTCCAAGACTATCCTTGAGGCAGGGATCCAGAGTTCTCTAGGAGGGCTATGAGACTGGAATACAGCAGTCTTTGGACCTAGTCTAGAATTCCAGAATCATCCAGTTAGCAGGTTATAAAGCAATCTCTTCTTACCCAGGTATAAAGACCTTGGTGGCACACCTTAAAATCCTAGTACCTGGAGGCAGAGGCAAGAGGACCTCCAGCTCCAGGCTAGCTTGGGCTGAAAGTGAGGCTAGGTCTTCAACTTCTGTCTGGTTTTGTTGTTGTTTTGGTTTTTCATTTAAGTGGAAGTCTCCAGAAACCTTACTCTTTCTTCATGGTTCTATTTTTGCTTTAGAAGTTAAGGAAGCATGGTATGGTGTGCTTCTGTTTTGTCCTTGTATTACACTGTTTGCAAACATGAAACTGAAAATGTTCCAATAAAAATTGTATTCCAGAAAACAAAAATAGTTGGTAAAAATGCTGAAGGCAGAGTCGCTCACCTTAACACAGCCCATGAAACCTTCCCAGGGGGGACTGGCCCTGCCCAGCTGTGTTCTCCAGGAGTAGGGTGGCCTGGTTTTGTTTGTAATAGCTGGTGTGTAGAAGAGCAGGATAACCTGCAGAGCCTCATCTTTGGACCTCACCTGCCTATGGGGCACTACGTCACTTATGCTGCCCTAGTTTTCTTTCTGTTGCTGTAATAAAACATTTTGACAAAAAGCAACTTGGGGGAGGGGCTGGAGAGATGGCTCAGAGGTTAAGAGCACTGACTGCTCTTCCAGAGGTCCTGAGTTCAATTCCCAGCAACCACATGGTGGCTCACAACCATCTACAATTCAATCTGGTGCCTTCTTCTGGAAGAACACTGTATGTGTAATAAATAAATAAATCTTTAAAAAAAAAAAAGCAACTTGGGTAGGAAAGAGTTCATTTGGCTTACCGGTCTAGGTCATAAGCAATCACTGAGGGAGGTTACGGCAGGAGCTTGAAGCAAAAACCATGGAAGAACACTGCTTAATGGCTTGATCTGATAATGATCTTATTATGTAGCCCAAGACTATCCACAGTGGGTTGGGCCCTCCTGTATCAATTAGCAATTAAGAAAATACTCACGGGCCAATATGATCAAAGAAAATCTTCAGCTGAGGGTGCTTTTCCCCAGGTGACCTCTAGGTTTGTGTCAAGGCAGGACAGATACAGAGTACTCTGTAGCCCTCCTTTACCTGTGGGTTCTGGGCCAGATGGAGCTCTGCCTACAGAGAACTTGGTAACACAGGGTCTGGAGACTCCCTCATCCCTGGGAGAGGCTTAAACTTAGGTTCCCTGCCCATGGAATGGGCCAACAGTAC